TCATTTCAATGACCCGACAGATATAACGTCACGGACGTCTCTCATGACTGCTGCAAGAAACAGTCATGATATCAGGGTGTTTGTCGGCTATGCATGACATGTATGGTCTGCAATTTGTTATGATCTTGAAAATTTGTCTTCACAAGATAGCCTAGGGAACTATTGCCATCAACAATTTAAATGTTTTCACAGGTGTATTTTGTGTCTGAAAAATACAGAAAAATCATTTTCTGTTTGTTTTGAAAAGCATCTGAGTCATCGTGTCATTTTGCTATATTCCATGTTATCACAAAGTTTGGGTGGCTTCCTATGTGAGAAGCATTACAGACATTATTCTGTAAGCAAAGCAATATTTCATAAACTAAACATTGCATGATCTTGAGAAATTTTGCGTGTGCAAAAAAGACATATTACAGGATTTCTCAAAATTGTCAAATTTGAGGAATAGCAATTATGTATGTAGCTTTGCTAAAAAATGTAATCTTACGTTAATGTTTCTCATTTAAAATATCCTATTGTATTATGAAATCTAACAAATTAACTTATTTCATTGGTAAATGATATCTTCTCCAAACAAAACTATAAACAATACTGTAAATGATCACCAAATCTGGCATAAAAATCTGCATGCAATATAATTGACTTACATCTATAGAGATTTATCAAAATAGTCTCCTTCTGGAATATTCAGATATTTTCAATTATTTTTTAAATAAACCATGCAAACCTTTTCTTTTAGTGCAGCCATGTTTGTTTTCACTTTGTCTTCAATCAAGGACAACGTTGTAGCACACACTATCAGTTTGTACTATATTATCATTGACTAGTTTATCATGGCTGTGCACGTGGTTGCACATAACCATGATAAACTTGGTTATATTGGGTGTCATAGCCTATAATAGTGTTAAGTAGCAATAGTTCTTTACTATTTTAATAAGAAAAATAAGTAGCGTATGTATGTGCGGATCCCGTGTTCCATCTGTCGTGGATTTTGAAGAGTGCATCAAGGCAGCTTTTGAGGTGCTGGATACCAGCAGGAATTTCAAAAAAGAAATAAGAGACAATATACAGAGTAACCTAGAGAAGACCCAGGTCATGTTTGTGTCCTTATTTACAAGTTATCAAAATTTGATGCAGCAAAATGAGCAGGTATCACTAAGCCTACCTGCTTGTACTCAAAGTCCCTCCGCCACCCCAACAACCGAAAGGTCTTATGCTGCCGTGCTAAAGCTCTGACCCCCACCATGTAATGAATGACAAGGTAGTTCTTGTCTATAGCAAGGAAGAAGGTAAAACCAGCCACGATATGCTGGAAGACCTGGAAACAACTGTTAACCTTACCAAGTTGAAAGTGGGGGTAAAGTCTACACGACCCATCAAAGATGGTGTACTGATTAATTGTAACACGAACGAAGGGGCCAGAAGGCTGGTAGAGTCCCTCAACAAAAGGGAGGATGTACGGGTTAGGTCGCCAGGGCTTTGGGACCCCCGTATTATTGTGCAGGCCTCGGAGTCACTCACTTTTCTGAAGTATCCTCACTTTTCTCACTTTTCAGGTCATTTTCTCACTTTTCTCACTTTTTTGGTCATTTTCACGTGCTTAATTAAGATGTGGGACAAATCAAAAATAATTTTAAAGACAAACTATCTGCCAAATTATCGGACTATCGGAATAGAATTTTCTGGAAGAAAATACGCAGCCCTAAGCGGGACTCAAAATTGCAACTGTTACTCAGTGTTGTTAGGTTATAGGAAACAAAAATTTATTTCATGTATGTAAAAATATCCTTTATGAACTTAAAAAAACCCTGTCATTACAAATTCAGAAGCTAGTGTTGAGTAAAGTTATGTACTCATGCCATATTTTCATTATTCGCCAAAATCTACCTCTTCCAAATTACATTTCATTGTACGGAGTTTAAAAATAAGTATTCTAAGCATCCCTGCGTTTTTTGCTGTTTTCTAAGAAAATCCCTCTATAGGGTAAAAAACACTAGGCGGAGGGATTACCCTCTCAAGCTGACAACACTGCTGCTGCTTTTAAATTCAAAATATATAATTATTAAAATTAACACAAGATTAACATAATAGCGTAACCTCCTACCACTAGACAAATTATTTCGTTTCTGACCATTTAGTTATCCTTGTTACAGCCCAATAATTTGGCAGATTATTTGATTTTAATTAACAATTGGGTTATGGAGTTGTTTACAAAAATATTTTTTTACTTGATTTATCTTTAAATAATATCATAAACTTGAGTTAAATAATGATTTCATAGCATATTGTTAACGTTAAATCACATCTATATCTTCCTAAATGTATGTTTAAATTGATTATAAGTATAATTATTCCATGTAGTAAGTATTATTTTCATAAAATGTGTGATTACTTGTGAAATATCCATTTTTTAATCTTTTTTCTTATGCTGATTATAATTGTGCATTAATTGAGAGACTGAAAAAGTAAACGAAAATGTAAATTCATATTTATATATAAAATTTACCAAATAAATTAAAAGATTCGAAGTGTTGTAAAAAGTACAGCACCTGATTGCTTGTG